AGTGGTAGGTATATCTTTCAATTTTAATTAATTTAATCGTATTACTAAAACAGTTTCGACTGTTTTTAGAATAAAAACTTCTTAAAAATATATTTATTAAAAAAAACACTAACTAATTGAAATTAAAAAATAAATAAAAACGTTTTGATTATAAAAAAATATAAAATTATTGATGGAATTTAGCAACTTTTTATTGAAAATTTTTATTACGTCTAAAGTGTCATCTTTCAACGAAAAGCCAACTTGGTTTTGATGTTTTCTATTATCCACTAAAGTGTGACTTCAAAATAAAATGTGTAGAGGTCGCCACCACAACGTTAGAAATATTCAATTTTACAATTAAAGTAATTTTTAATATGCAATTTTATTTCTTTCGTCTTAACTATTCACATTTGAAACCTATAATAACAAGAAAAGAAAAAAAACATCCGAACTAAACCCTAATAAACCACAAGGAATTAACTTAAAATAGTTAAATGTTATTCTTCATAGTGACATACGGCTAAGAATATCAATTGTTTAACTTGTTAAATTTATAATTATATATTATATTTTCATAATTAGAAACTAATTTTCGACTTGCTGAATGAAAACATTAGCAAACATATTTGAACCAAAAGATATCAAAAGATAAATTATTGCTGCATCATTATTTAATATAAATGGAACTCGTAAATTGCCAGTGACTCGTCATATCTTGGTTGATGCACAATGACGATCATCACCGAAGTATTTTTTGTGTCAGTAATAACCGTTTTATTAATATTATGGTTTCGTTTAAAAAACAAAAATAAGGAATTTTATGACAAAATTCCTGGTCCGCCTCCTATTCCATTTTTTGGAAATATTCTTGAATTTACTTCGACAACAGGTTTGTATCATTTTAATATAATGGAAAATATTGATATTATAATAACTGAAGCGCTTTAGATATGATTAGATATCTCTGTCTGTGTATTAAAATTTTATTGATAACAATATTTTTGTTTCTCCAAAATTTTGAAAATTTTATTTCCTGAATTCCGTTACTGTCACTTATTATTATTAATGAAATTTTGACTAAAGAGTATTTTGGGTACCTATTTTTAAGTGTGCTACTTCATTCTTAATTTTTCAGGTATTAATAAGGAACCAATTGGCAAATTCTCACTTTTTTCTATGTCTGAAGGGAGGGCATCAGACTCAGAACTCATTTTAAAGAACCACTTTTTAACAATTTTTTTCAAAACAATAATTTGTTTATTATTTATTTCAACATAGCAACGGTCGGAGTTAATTGATTTGTTTATCATTTTTTTTAATAAAGTTGTGGAAATATATTTTCAATTTACGACGGAATTCGAAAAAAACTTTGCACCTACGTTATGAAAAGCTTGTTTAACTGTACGAGGACTGTCAATATACAGGGCGTTAAAAAAAGATTGTAAAATAATTATTAAAACTTTAGTTTGTTTTGGCCCATATTATTACCTCCTGAAATATTTTACACGATTTTTTAACACCCTGTATGTATTTTTATTACATTTACAATTAACTCAAAATCAATAGAGATTAGATTATTACAGTTCGTATTTTTTTCATGAAAGAAAAAATTGTTTCTCTCCTGAATTAGTTACATACAGGGTGCACAAAAGTTGTTTTATTTTATTTCTATTTAGTCATTTTTTTTCGAAAAAAACTGAATAAAACGTAATTAGTTGTAATAGTTTGATCGTAGCCTTTGTAAGAAAAAAGTTGTATAGGTTATTTAAGGTTGCCATTAAAAAAATAATAAATTTTGCAACTCGAAAAGTAATAGAAATTTTGAAAAATTTTATTTTCGAAAAATGACACTTATTTTTTTTTGTAAATTAATTAGTTTGTGTTAAAAAAATAGATACTTGAGGTTAGTTAGTTTCCAAATTTAATTTGCAATTTTAATCTCTATAATAAGTTGATGAGATTTAAAAAAATGTCCGAATTCTTATCCATAGTAAATCGAATAAATTTAAATTGTTTAAAATTTTGTGTTTTTTAAATATTTTTCCCATCAGTTAGCTTCATTTTCAATACATATTTGTTGTTTTCTGTAAACAGACTCTTGATGATTTATTTTTTATAAATTATAAATATACAGAGTGTTAAAAAAAAGATTGTAAAATACTTAAGGTCAAAACAAACAAAAAATCCGCAAAGTAACGGTTTTAGAAGCTTCTCTTTTTTGTTTCAAAAAACCAAAAATTTTTGATATCTCCGAAACCATTACTTTGCGGACCCAAGTTCATTAAGACTTTTTTGTTTGTTTTGGTCCATACTATTACCTCCTGAAATATTTTACATTTTTTTAACACCCTTTATAAAATCATAATTTCTGAAGTTAAAAAATAACAAATTGATTTCAAAATATTTATAATATGTTTTTTCCAGTTGTGTTGGACGTTATGATGAAACATATGAAAACCTACGGAGGCGTTGTCAAGTTTCACGGAGGTCCCGTAGACAAAACCTTATTAGTTTCTGATTATAATTTTCTTGAAAATGTCTTAAGTTCAACGAAAATTTTAAACAAAACCGAAGACTACAAATTCCTCCATTCCTGGTTGGGCACTGGTTTATTAACCAGTGATGGTGAAAAAAGTGCAATTTAGAGATGTGTAACATTTCACCAACATTTTTAGGCCCCAAATGGAAAAAACATCGAAGAATGTTAACACCAGCGTTCCATTTTTCAATTTTGGAGCAATTTATCGAAGTGTTTGAATCGGCCGGAAGCAAACTAGTCGAAAAATTAGAAAAAGTTGTAGAAACAGCCAGTGTTGATATTTACCCATTCGTGACACTTTGTACCCTTGATATTATTTGTGGTAAATTTTCACATTTCACAAATGGAATACAACTAAATTTTTTATCCAGAAACTGCAATGGGTATAAAAATTAACGCCCAAGATAATGGCGAGTCGGAATACGTCCAAAGTGTGAAACAAATGTGTAAAATCATAATTGAACGGTCATTTTCTCTTATGCAATTGAATAATTTAACATACCCGTTGACAAAAAACTTCTACACAGAGAAGAATGCCTTGAAAATTTTACACCAAAAAACCAACAGTGTCATAAATCAAAGACGAGAACAGTTAAAAAATCAATCGAAGATAATGAAGCAAGAAAATGACTTAGGTACCAAAACCAAAAAGGCATTTTTGGACTTACTTTTAGAAGCCACAGTGGATGGTAGGCCACTTACTGATGTAGAGATACGTGAAGAAGTTGATACATTTATGTTTGAGGTAATTACAAATTATATTTCATTTAAACCATAATTTTGTATCCCATAATCCAGATAATTCCAAAATAATCCCAAATAATTCCAAATACTCCCAAATAATTACAAATTTAAATAAAAGTAAAAACTGATGTGATATTTATTAAATAACAGGAAAAGTTGTTTAGAATTAACATCTAGGCCCCTATACCAAATTTCAAAATCATCGGCTAACTTTGATTTGTCATTTTTTTATGTTTACCTTTTATTTTTAACTGTTCTTTTATTACGAATTAAATAAATTTACATTTAGATTATTAGTAATAAATCACTTTTTGACGTATCTGTTAATAAAAAGCAAACATCTTTGAAAAAAAATAAAAAAACATAGTAGGCCGATGATTTTAAAATTTGGTATAGGGGCCAAACAATTCCAAAAAATTTTTCTTAATAACCTTTTGAAAAAAAAAATTTAATTTTTTATCTTCTACAAGAGTCGTTTCACCTATCCGGGGACACACTGTATAATATTAGGCAAAGAAAGTAAACACAATCAACGACATAAAATTAATTTGAAAACGTAACATAAGACCAATTCTCAGATAAATAATAAAAATGTAAATAAAAATAAATAATATTTAAAATTTGGAAAACAATATTAAGAACAAATACATATTGCAAAATGCATTCAAATCCTCGTACTTACTATTAATTATTATTATTTTGATTTGATCATGATTTAATTTAAAAAAATCTTTTGAACAAAACAAAATAGGACTGTTGATTATTTCGGGTGTGTCAAAAAGGTCGGTATAAGAATTATAACACTAAAAAGAAATAAAAATAATCGAATTTTTAATTATGTATTAAACAGTTCTTAAATGTGTAACATTCGCTTGAAGTCCATGAGAAGACGTGCTAAAAATACGACAGTAAAAATAATTTCATTTTGTAATTTATGAAACTGCCCCAGGTAAAATATTTACAAAATTTTGAAGCTCAACTATGAGAAAATTAATAGAATTATGTAATTTTTAGTTATTTTTAATGAATTACAAAATCGGATATATTTCCAAATACTTTGAAATAATTCCACAAACATCTATATAATTCCAAATTTAAATAAAAGTAAACTGATGTGATCTTTACAGTTTAAACTTGATCGAAAAGTTTTCTGATATTATTTTTAATATTTGCGTAAGTGCTTTACCATAATATGAATATAAATAAGTATAAGTTAGCCTTTGTAATTTCCAATAAATATATTTTACATTCATCTTTAATAATTATGTAGATTAACTTACCTATTACAAATATACACAACTTCACACAAAGTCTGAGGTTTTAATGCACATGACTACTTCTAGGGAATTCTAAAGAATTCCAAATAATCCCAAATAATTCCAAATAATCCCACCACTTGTACACTAATTATACAGCGGTTTACCCCCCGATTTGGACTAAAAAATAACATTTTAGGGACATGACACAACAGCTTCGGCAATAAGTTTTGCATTGTTCTGTTTAGCCACTCATCCCGAAGTTCAAGTACGTTATTTTCTTTTTATCGAATTTTTTTTTAGTTCAATTTCTAGGCCAAAGCTTTACAAGAACAAAAAGATTTATTTGGTGGTACTAAAAACCCCACACCCACATACACAGATTTACAAAGCATGAAATATTTGGAGCAAGTCATTAAAGAAACTCTTAGATTATATCCTTCAGTTCCATTTTATGGCAGAAAAACCAATGAACCTGTGGAATTCAGTAAAAATACTTTAGTAATGTTTACGATTTTTCTTCAATGAGTGTTATAGACAATGGAATTATTCCGAAAGATGTCACAATTACTGTGTTCACATACGGGATTCACCGAAATCCTGAGTATTTTAAGGATCCTGAGAAATTTGATCCCAGCCGGTTCGAAACCATCGATGGTAAACATCCATATTCTTTTATACCATTCAGTGCTGGACCCAGAAATTGCATTGGTAATTTGTAAAATAACACAATCTAAATTTGAAGTGTAAATTTTAGGACAAAAATTCGCAATGTTAGAAATGAAAAGTACTTTATCAAAAATTATAAGAAAATTCGAGTTGAGACCATCTATTCCAGAACATAAGCTACAACTGACCGCTGAAACAGTGCTAAAGTCTGTAAACGGCATCAAAATAAGCTTAAAATTGAGACAATAATGGTATTTTGAAAAGGTAAAAAAACTTATTTTTGAAGCTCTGAGAAAAATAAAATAAAACATTTAACTTTAAAAACTGTTTAATTGCATGAAACACCTTCCAATTTATCCAATTCCTTACCAATTTATAAAATTATATTTGAGTTTTTAACATAATTGCTTTTTTCCTGATTCAAAATATTTATAGTATGCATTTTATCCTATGCAAATGCGAAGCTAAATTGAAAAAAACTAATTCTTGGTGTTACCATTTTTGCCAATTTTCACATAATTAATTTTGCTTTGTTTCTTTTAATTTCGATGACTAAAAACAGAAAGATAAATAGATGGTGACGCCACAATGATAGCTATAATAAAATGAATCAGAACAAACAAAAAATATATTACATAATTTATGAAAAATTAGTATTCCTTTATTTGAAATTTTTAGTCTTTTCCTGAATTAAAAAAGTACCCCACATACACAATAACACAGAGTTTTTATCTCATTTTGAGTATTTGTAATGGATTGCAAAATTCAATTTTTTATGAAAAAAAGCATTATTTAAATTGCATGAAAAAAATACAGTAACATAAGTAGGTAATCTACAATACACCAAAAACAAATCAAAAAATTCTTCCGTACATTTTTGTTATAAAAAAATAAAATGGCCAAAAATAAAGGGTATTTTTAAACAAAATTTTCTAAATCAATATATATTGCTGCTAAGGCCATCAAAACGTTACAATAATTTTTTCAGAATTTTTAAATAACGATTTATTTTTTATTCAGTTTAACTCAAACCTCAAGGTCGATTACTCAGTCGTCTGTTGACTGTAAAAGTAGGTTACCAGACGGGGGAATGCCGCAATAATAATAATTATTTGCATGCTCCACTCCTATCAGACGCAGTATCCAACAAAAACGTCTTTGCATTTGATAAAATTTATCAGTAGTTATCTTTTTAAAGTGCAAGTGATTGTTTTTAAATGTAATATTTGAGTTGCCCACAAAATGGGGATTTTAACAGATGTTTTCCTCCCCTTCGGTGTAATTTTTTTGATATTTTGGTACTGGTATCGGGCACAAAAGAGCAAAAAATATTATCAGAACATTCCAACACCACCAACGGTTCCAATCCTGGGAAATGCTTTGGATTTTACAACCACAACAGGTGAGAATTTGTGTCACCAAAACTTGCTTAAAATTAAACTTTTTAGAATTACTGGGGACTTTAATGCGATACAAAAAGGACTATGGGGGCATAGTAAAGGTGCACATTGGCCCTCTGAGACAATTTTTGCTCGTGTCTGACTACAAAATGCTGGAATTTCTATTGAGTAGTTCCAAAATACTGGATAAATCCGAAGACTACAAATTTTTATGTAGTTGGTTGGGGACAGGTCTCCTGTTGGCAGATGGAGGTGATTATTTTTGAGAGAATCATCGATATTATCAATATTTTTCAGGACCAAAATGGAAAAAACATCGCAAAATCCTTACACCAGCATTTCATTTCCAAATCTTGGAGCAGTTTGTGGAAGTTTTTGATTCTTGCAGTAATATTTTAATAGAAAAATTGCACAAAAAAGTGGGCAAAAACAGTGTTGATGTCTATCCCTTAGTCACTTTATTCACACTTGATGTTATTTGTGGTAAGTTTTGCTCGTTTAAATTAATTTTCAATACCAATTTCTTGTAAAGAGAGTATCATGGGAATAAAAATTAATGCCCAAGACGATGTGGAGTCTGATTATGTGCAAAGTGTGAAGCACATGTGCAGAATAATAATAGAAAGGTCAATTTCACCGGTGCAAATGTWTGATTTTTTGTTCGTTTTCACAAGAAACTATTTTATACAAAGAAGGGCAGTTCGAATTCTGCATGATAAAGCTAATAGCGTGATTTCGACCCGATTGAAAGAATTACAAACCCGGTCAAAAAATGTCGAGGACAGCGAGGGAATGAGGAAGAAAAAACCATTTTTAGACCTGATTTTAGAAGCTAAAATTGATGGGAAACCCCTCAACCAAGATGACATAAGACAAGAAGTTGAGACTTTTATGTTTGCGGTTGGTATTCATTTGTGTGTTGTAAATTTTGAGTAGAGATTTTAGGGTCATGACACCACGGCTTCTGCTATTAGTTTTACGTTATATTGTTTGGCTAATTATCCTGAGGTCCAGGTATGGAAAAATAAATTTAAACTGTTTCAAACCGAAATTTTCCAGAAAACTGCATWTGAAGAACAAGAGACAATTTTTGGTGATTCTGAAGTGAGTTATGCCAAGCTTCAAAGCTTGAAATATTTGGAAATGGTGATAAAAGAAACATTAKGGTTGTACCCTTCAGTTCCCATAATTGGTAGACAATCTGGTGAAGATTTTCAATTTGGTAATTGAGAAAATTAATTACAAAATGTGCACATTGTTAATGAAATTTCAGAAAATTCATGGATACGTAAAAGAGAAACAATGTTACTTTTTCCATATGGTATACATCGGGACCCAAYATATTTCAAAGATCCTGAAATATTTGATCCTAGTAGATTTGAAAACTCAGATAATAAATTGCCCTATGCTTATATACCTTTCAGTMCTGGCCCGAGGAACTGTATTGGTAAATTAACACAAAGAGAATTAAATCAAATCAACATATTTGAAATATTTTAGGCCAAAAATTTGCTATGTTGGAAATGAAGTGTGTCCTGTCAAAAATAATAAGACAATTTGAGCTCCAACCAGCTGTTCCTCAACATAATTTAATGTTAGCTGCTGAGACTGTTTTAAAGTCTGCAAATGGTATTAAGATAGGTTTTAAACTAAGAAAGTGATAATTATTCATATTGTTCCCTGTTTATAAATAATTAATTCAAAATAAACTTTTATATAATTTGCAGTATTAATAAAATTGAAAAAACAACACAACTGTTTTATTTTTCACTCTTTTTATCAAGAATACAAATATTTGTGCAAGAAATTATTAAACTTAATACTTTAACACGTTAAGTATTTAATTTTTTGCGATTTTCATGAGTTTTCACTAAATGAGAAAGTACCTACTTTAAAAAAGGGCCTCATGTAGACTTAATTCATTTTAATACAAATAAACTTTGAAGGAATAAAAGTATTTTTTTCTTCGCTTTTGTACATTTCAGATCATAACACGATAGGAAATTTATTTCTAACATTATAACAGATAATCGTTTCAATAGTAAAGATTTAAAAAAAACTATTATTATTGTTCACTAATTGATTCATTAGCAACAAATTTAAAAAATAATAGTATACACTTAGCAATTTGCAGTTTGTCTTGTCATATAGTTGTAAAATAATAAAAAAACAAGCAAATTTATTCGAGCTAGCACAGGGCTGTACCCAAAAGGGGGGATTAGGGGGTTCAGTGTTGTTTAAGACTATAAGAGCCCAATATAAAAGAAATTTGGTCATGGGATATGTAATTTAATTTAATTTTTTAATTTTAGGTTACGACATGAATTTATTATTTCTACTGATGTAACAAAAACTAGATGTGCCCACTTAACTAGCAAAAAATAGATTTCCAGTTGATTAGTAGAAAAATTGTAAAAATTCAGTAATTCAAAAATTGAATTAAATTGATTTAGTTATATAAGATATTTGCAAATGAGATAGTATGAGGTTTCGAAGGAGGCGAAATGAATTTAAATAAATATAAATTTTTACAAAATCCGATAGTGTGAGTTTTTATTAATTATATAAAATAATCAGATGGTGTGAGGTTAGAAGGGGACGAGCGGCAAAGCCGCGGGCCCCTTTTATAGATTTTGACAAAATCTGATAGTGTGGGGCGAAGCCCTCAACAATTTCGGCATTTTTCGAATCAGATAGTACGAGTTCTACATGAAACATAAAACTCTTAGTTTTAAACTTTTAATCAAGGGCGTCCAAAACGGTAAAACAAATGTAATTTTTATGCTGTTTTTGGTCTGTAACATAAATTTTTAAACCGATTTTACTGAAAATCGGTAAATTGTATCGGAAAAACGCAAAAGACTTTATTTTATGAAAAACTATGAAATTTAGAATTTTGTTGCTGAAAGTGGCAAGAACTAGAGGCAAAATAGTTAGAGTACTTTCTACCCTAAACCCACGCAGTTTAGGAAGCCCCTAATAAAAAATTTCAGCATTTTATCTGTGTACTCGTTGTGTACCAAATTTTGAAATTTTTATCTAAAATGGTTTCGGAAATATTGGAAAAAACCTATTAAAAAACGCACCTTAGCATTTTTCGATATATGTTCATAGGAGACTTTTGTCTTAAAATTGAATATTCTATCTCCTAAATTTGTAACAATGAAAACGGAACATCCTGTATAGTTTTATAAGTATTAAAAATTTATTTTATTTTTTGTTACTTTTGTGAGTTAATTTGTATTTTTTATGTTTAATTTTAAATTATTTTGATTTGTTGTAATTTTTTCTTTAGCTATCACGATAAAAATTACAAAAACCGAAAATGAGGTTAGTTGCCTAACATTTTTATGTCACTCGAATGACAAATCGTCCAAAATTCCGTGTCCGCCAGTGTACAGTTGCGGAATTAAAATTTCGGACAGTATTTTTCACTTTAAAAAGCTCACTGTAAACTACCTTTTACTGTCATCATGACTGACATTTATCAAATAAATATATTTTTTTGTTGTTGAAATTGTTAATTAAATGTCTTAGGAAAATTAATTGAACTAACTGTAATTAAATCATCGCTTTGATTTGCTGCCTACCCGCTATAATACCACAAATCACTATTTTTGAAAGCAAATAAGTCAAAACAACATTAACATGACAAGAGTAAAAAATGAGGTTATTAATGTAAAGGTTGTTTTAGAGTTTACTTTATGAAAATGACAATCCTGTCCGAAATTTTAATTCCGCAACTGTACAACATAATTTTAAAAATTGATACTCCATTATAAAAACAAAAATTTACCGGATTTTTAAAATTCAGAATGTCAGTTATAGTTTTTATGAGAATAAGAAAATTATCAATGTTACAACTTAAATAAACTGCGTTTGCACGCGTGTACTGTTGGTTGCATAAAACTTAAATTTTTTGTTTGAAAAATTACCACTTCAACAAAAGCGTAATGCTTACCTCAGCACTAGTTGTTTTTTACATTCATTTTTACACTCACATTTGGGATAAAAAAAACAAAAAATATCTAAATTGTAGTTGTAATTATTATTAGTAAACAAAAAAAAAGAATAATTCTTTAAAATAAATAAAAATAATCTTCTTTTTTAAACAAGTTCATTATAACAAAAAGTATGCCCTCTATTACCCTCAAAAATTAGTAACCAGCCTTTTTGAGGACGTGCAGGGCATAAACAACGAGCTCATCCTCTTGAACAGTCTGTAACAAACGACACCATTCTTTCGAAGTCTTGTTCATCCACTTTCTGAATTCGGGTGTATTCTTCTTTAATCCAGCTTGACGTACAAGACATTCTTTGAGATTACTTTGTATTTTATTTTCGATCAAATCTATAATTTTTTGATCAGGAATAACACAAAGTTTGACGTATTCCTGAAGTTCCTCTGATCCCACTAAATCATACAACCTTCTTAATTCACCCTTAAATGCGAAATCAAGCCTCTTTAAATCTTCAAGGCACAGAATTTTTGCCTTTTCTCGCCTCAAAGCCATTTCATGAAGACAACTTTTCAATGTGACTTCAAATTTTCTCACAAGTCTTTTCTGTTTCGATGAACAAGTTGAAGTTTTTACGCGATTGGAATAGTGTTCGTCGGGAAGACAATCAAAAAAGTATTCTGGGTCATCATCCATATTGTCTTTCAAACACTTCTCGAGCAGTAAGTCGTAAAAGTTTTGGCGTTTCAAATCTCCCTTTGTGTTCACTAGAAAATCACGAATACCATCACAACGAATCAGGTGCCACTTACTTGTTTCGACCCAAAAATTGTTAATTCAAAATCAAATTGAACAACCTAACCTAATTAACAAAAAAGAGGAGGGAAAGTTGACAAGTTTAAAAGTGCAAAACCAAAATCCCTAGTTAGTGACAAACTGCTAGCACACCGGGTAATTTAAATCAAAAACTGCATTATCTTGATTTTTAGAATTAAATAAGAATTAATTTGCTTGCTTACAAATCAGATAAATTGAATACATTCAATAAAAATTTGTTAAATCAAAAATTTTCTCTACAAAACAGGAATCTTTGTCTGTTACTGCTAAGATAGTAACAGTTATATTTATTTTTTAATTTTTACTACTTAAAAGGTTTTTTTTAACCACACATAATTTTTTTCCAATTGTTAAAAGTTACAGCTTTTTTGGTCCTTGTTTTTTGTATTACATTTTGTTTATTAAATTTAAACAATTAATGATATTAAATGTTGATTTAATATACATCTAAAACGGACTAATTTTTAGAGAACTAGACAAAATTATTTTAAATTTTTATAAATTATTAAATAAAGTCGCGGCCAATTCATAGTAGCCATTTTAAAGTTGGCAGTCCCCAGCCCACCACCTCTAGTGTCTGAGTTGTGCCTATGTTGGTAGCTGAAGTAACTAATCCGACTTTTTCAGAATTGTCATTCTTGATAGATCTGTCACTAAAAAAACAAATCACAACGAATCTGGTGCCACTTACGTTTAAAAGTGCAAAAAAAACAAAATCCCTAAGTCTAACTAACTGATTTTTACATTATCTTGATTCTTTAGAATTAAATAAGAATCAATTTGTTTGCTTATAAATAAGATAAATTAAATATATTGCAATAAAGTAGAAAATCTTTTTTTAAACACACATCATATTTTATCAAATTGTTGACAGAAATATTTTAAATTTATAAATAATTAAATACAGCGGAAATAATTTTGAGTCGGTTGGCTACACTGCTTTTGGCTCAAGTGTCAAATTTCTGTTGACATTTTATTAACGTCAATCAGTTTGTGTATTTTGTGAAAATCCTCGAAATCGATGGGTTTTCCACCCGCAATGTGGTAAAATTTCTCCAGTGGTAGTTTCTAGACTCCCCGCAAGTTTAGTTTTCGCCCCTCGTGTGTGAAAAAGGACCGAAGGTAAACCCCATCATGTGATTGTCCGTTGATTTTGCAATTTTTCGTAGATAGACTCCGTGTGGGGTTGGGCGTCTCCGCCCTTGCGCCTCCAACTGGCCTCCCACATTCGAGGCACCTGCAGAATGGGGGAGATGGCAGTTGGAGACCGCCCCCCGTCTCCAGCACGACTCTCCCACACTTCGGACAAGCACCCCAAGAACACCCTCTCGGAGCTGAACGTGTTGCGCCGCCACCGGGAGCTCTGCGACGTGGTCCTCAACGTCGGCACGCGGAAAATCTTCGCGCATCGCGTCATCCTCAGCGCCTGCAGCCCCTATTTCCGGGCCATGTTCACCGGCGAGTTGGCGGAGTCCCGCCAAACGGAGGTCACAATCCGGGACATTGACGAGATTGCCATGGACCTACTCATTGACTTTTGCTACACCTCGCACATCATCGTCGAAGAGTCCAACGTGCAAATGCTACTCCCAGCAGCTTGTCTCTTGCAACTGACTGAAATCCAGGACATCTGCTGCGAATTCCTGAAACGTCAATTAGACCCCACGAATTGTCTCGGGATTCGGGCCTTCGCCGACACGCATTCCTGTCGCGAGTTGCTCCGCATCGCCGATAAATTCACCCAACACAACTTCCAAGAAGTGATGGAAAGTGAGGAGTTTTTGCTACTACCAGTCGGACAATTAGTCGATATTATCTCAAGTGACGAGTTAAATGTGCGCACCGAGGAGCAAGTCTTCAATGCGGTCATGTCCTGGGTGAAGTACAACGTCACCGAGAGACGCCAACACCTCCACCAGGTGTTACAACATGTCAGATTGCCGTTACTCAGTCCTAAGTTTTTAGTCGGTACTGTCGGGTCCGATTTACTGGTTCGGTCCGATGAATCGTGTCGGGATCTCGTTGACGAGGCTAAGAATTATCTTTTGTTGCCCCAAGAACGGCCCCTAATGCAGGGGCCTAGAACCAGACCGAGGAAGCCGACAAGACGTGGAGAGGTTCTATTTGCGGTTGGGGGATGGTGTAGTGGAGATGCTATCGCCTCTGTGGAGAAGTTTGACCCACAGACGATGGAATGGAAGATGGTGGCGCCGATGAGTAAGAGGAGGTGTGGAGTTGGAGTTGCCGTTTTGAACGATTTGTTGTATGCGGTTGGAGGGCATGATGGCCAGAGCTATCTTAACAGTATTGAAAGGTTTGTTTCATTTATTTAACAATTAAATTAATAAAAGAGAAAATAGTACAGAGAAATCTAAAAATTATTTCGATCAAGCAAGCGTGTGGTAAAATGTCGGAATGACAAATGAGAAATGTCAAAATTATTTTTGTGATATACGATTTGCATTATGAATAAATACCAACAATGTTTAAGATGTTTTAAAGAGGTTTCATAAAATAATTCAACTTGCTTAAGTCAATATTTTAATTATTATAAAATAATTTTTTGACATTTAATTAACATATGAACTGTCATGCGACATACGTCCTAGTTGATTTTGATTGCATTGTAAAGTCTATTTTTTTTAATGCAAATGCCAAATAGTCAACTAAAAAACGACTAAAAAATAATGTTTACATTCAATAATTCTAAAAAAATTTTTGTACTTTTTAAGATTTGTAGTCCAAAAAATATAATCTTTACTTGTCGAAATAACACATGTTTGACTATCTGGAACTTTTCTAATAAAAGATTTTTTTAATTCGTTTTCAAAAAATAATTTAAAAAAATTAAGATGTCTTTTGAGAATATTTTTTTTTGTTTTGAGCTGAGCGATTTATTTCTAAATAGCAACATTAAAAAATGATGAAAATTAAATAAAATYCCGACAGTTGTAATCAATAAATCATAGCCTTTGGAAAAAAGGTTTTTTTGGAAATGTGTGAAAAAAACTCAAATTTTGTCTTTTCAGTTTTTTTATTTCTTCGGTTTTCTCAGTGTTAGACATTGTTTTTAAATTGGTGAATATTTTTTTTCTAAAACGACTAAATTATGAAAAAAATWATGTTCAGAAATTTTGAAATTWMAGTAGTGGACAGTATTTCCAGTAGTGTTTACATTCATTAATTCTAAAAAAAATTTGACAGACTATTTTTTGTACTTTTTAAGATTTGTAGTCCAAAAAATAAATAACACAGGTTTGACTGCCTGGAACTTTTCTAATAAAAGGTTTTTTTTTAATTTGTTTTCAAAAAATAATTAAAAAAAATTAAGATGTCTTTTGAGAATATTTTTTTTGTTTTGAGCTGAGCGATTTATTTCTAAATAGCAACATTAAAAAAATGATGAAAATTAAATAAAATGCCGACAGTTGTAATCAATAAATCATAGCCTTTGGAAAAAAGGTTTTTTTGGAAATGTGTGAAAAAAAC